ATAGCCCTACCTGTTGCTCCTCTGCCACTAAGTTCGGAGAACTCTTAGGACATGTTATAGTATCTGAAAGATTCTCATTGTTCAAGTCAGTGCCCCTAAAAGTTCTCAGGCTCTCATGTGCCCTATCTTTTGCTGTCTGAGTATATAAAAATGGAGGAAGGAATAAGCAGTTTTCAAGACACCATGGCTTGTCCTGTTGTTCTTGATTCCAAATATCTTTGGGACAAAATTTGGTTACAGAAAGAGAGCCTACACTTGAATCAGGGTTTTAAATATTTAAATCCAGTGAGCAGATGAGAATATAGAGAAGTATATTGACTATGACCAGCCTGAATGTAACCCAAGGCTTACAAAGCTAAACCCCAACCCCTTTTATGATTGGTATAACAGGAGAGATCCATTTCAGACACCAAAGTGGTTCCATGAGCAGACTTGCCCATCTAGGAAGCTTAATCAGTCTTGGTGTGGGCAATCTTGGTGTTCTAAGGAACCCAACCTTAACAGGATACCAAGCACAAATGTGCAATACATGTGGGTTTATAGCACTTTTCTTTGATACTTCAGGGACCAGTTGTGAGATTATAATACTCATTTTGAAAGCATTTATATCTGTTGTTTTCTTTTCCTTTTTATCCTCATCTCCCATGGGAACTTTGACTCAAGATTATTCAATGTGAGAAAGTCTGTGTCACTTATAAGCAGTGCCAATAAGAGAAAGTAAGTGATTTCAAGCTGGTAATTGTCTTCTATGTCTTAAAATCACCAAGTTACCTGGTGCATTTCACTGGAGTTCTCTTGCAGTTCAGCTCAAACAGCTGGTTTGATTATATGAATGGATTTTAGGCACTAGTACACCTTCCAAAGGAATAATATAAAAATTTAGGGCAGTCATTGGTCAAGAATTTTGACGTTAAATTTGGATATCCTCTAAAAAGAGGGGGGAAATGCACTTGGAAATAAACAGAGAAATCTGATTTTATCTAATTGTAATTTAAAATTATGAAAATACCATGTTCAGATGATTAATAATTCTAACTTGCAATATTCCTTCCAGTTTTCTCTGCTATGAAGTACACATAAAATTTTGCCTCCTCCTTTTTCCTAAGTACCTCCTATGTAGTCACATTGTAATAACCACATCAACTTGTCAAATTATAACTATTTCTCTTATTTCTGGGCAGCCAGACTGCTTCTAGTTCTTAAAAAATAGCTTCATATGCCGGGCTCCAGTGGCTCATGCCTGTAATCCTCGCTACTCAGGAGGCTGAGATCTGAGGATTGTTGTTCAAAGCCAGCCTGAACAGGAAACTCCGTGAGACTCTTATCTCCAATAAACCACTCAGAAAACCAGAAGTGGCACGGTGGCTCAAGAGCTCTAGCCTTGGGCAGAAGAGCTGAAGGACAGCGTTCAGGCCCAGAGTTCAAGCCCTGTGGACGAAACAAAAAAAAAAAGCTTCATATAAACATGGGTACTATTTGGAAGGGGAAACAGAAGAGGACAGTACTTTATATGCATGTATGAAGACAGAATAATGAAATGCATTAAATTGGTTTAGAAATGGGGAAAGGAGCACAAGAAACAGCAATAAAGGGAGTGAATTCAATCAAAGTATATTATGTGTGTATATGTAAACAACACAGTGAAACCCCCTTCATACAATTGGTATAGGCTAATAAAATTTTGTTTAACAGAATGACTAAATTAAAAAAAATTTTATTGAGAAAGTGATGAGCTGAGGGGTTACAGTTACATAGAACCCTAACCCTAACCCTAACCCAAACTGACCTGTTGCAACAATGAGAAGTACAAGTTGTCGTGCCCAAAACGAGCTTTACAATGTCGGTGGGGGGGGGGGGAAGGGGGGGGAAGGAGAAGGATTGGGGTGGGGGGGGGGGGAGGCTGGGAAGGGATGTGAAGGGTAAACAAAGGAGGAGGCTGCAATTCTTGGTAAGAAATGTACGCATTATCCCGCCCATATAATTGTAACCCCTCTGTACAGTATGTTCACAAATAAAATAAAATAAAATTTAAAAAAATGAGAATCAAAAAAATAAAAATAAAAAAATAAAATTATTGTTACCCCATCCCTCTTTATCTCCCCTCCCCCTCTGCCTCCCCCCCCAAGTTGGAATATTCCAACATAGTGTCAAGTGAGTATAAATGTTGCTGTGGTTCATTCATTGTTCTGCTGTTTCTGTGATCCTCTTTCCCTCTTTTTATGGGGGTAGTATTTTGACATTTAAGCCTTCCCTCCCTCTTTTCTTCCCTCACTCCCTCCCTCCTTTCCTTCCATGCTGGAGATCTGTACATTCTGCCCAAATGTTCAACCACGGAGCCACACTCCCCATATTTGAGATTCTGTTCCTAGGATTGGATCTTGGCTATGAAATCAGTAAATCAAAGAATGGGATCATTTTTGAATGGTTGGTGTCTATTTTCACATCACTTTCTTTTTGTTGTTCTTGTTGTTTTAAGACAGATTCTTTCTGTAGCCCATGCTACATTCATGCTCATCCTCCTCAGCCTTGATCCATACCACTTTATAAGGGGTAAACATAATTATCAGCAGTGAAAGGAAAATATTTTCAGCACACCCACCTAGCATTGGGCATTACTGTTTCTAAAATGCACTACTGTGTCTAAAATGCTTCGATCATTTACTGGGCCAAAAAATGTCATCTTGTTCTTTAGATTAGAAGTTCTTTGACTTTGAGCCAAGGTTGAACTTTTTTTTGGGGGGGGGGTCCGGTCGTGGAGCCTGAACTCTGGGCCTGGGGTGCTGTCCCTCAGCTCTTCAGCTCAAGCTTGAGCCACAACACCACTTCCGGCTTTTTTCTTTTTGCTTATGTGGTGCTGAGGAATCAAACCCAGGGCCTCAGGCATGCAAGGCAAGTGCTCTACCACTGAGCCACCTTCCCAGCCCTGAACATTTTTTTAACTTTATGAATTTTATACATTTTCTGAACCTCTGGGAACCTGGTTCTGATTTTCTCAAGGGCCCTTCAGAAAATAAAGTCTAAATTATACCAAAGTTGGGAGTTGAATAGAAAAAAAAATAGCCTCATAAAATTAAGACCTAAAGGGCAGGAGTGAAGGGAAGAGAAGGGAAAGGGAGAAAAAGGAGGGGAAGGGAGGGGAAGAAAGAGGAGGGGAAAGGAGGAGAAGAGTAGGGGAGAGGAGAGAGAAGGAGAAGAGAAGAAGGGAGGGGATAGGAAAGAAAGAGAGTGGAGGAAGAGAGAGAAGAGTAACGAAAGGGAGAAGGGAGGGGGAGTAAAATGGGGAGAGGGAAGGAAAGGGGAAGGGAAAGAAGGGGAGGGGACAAAAGGGGAGCAGAAGGTAGAGGACCACCCTAGTCCTGAGAAGCTATAAGCACATGCTGGCAGACCCTGGGAAATTTTAACCCCAACTTCATCTTACATGGAATGCGCACGCGTGCGCGCGCGCGCGCACACACACACACACACACACACACACACACACACACCATGAATGAAGCTGTCTGGTCCTGTCCCTACCCTGCCATGTTCCCTTCAACCACAGGTCATATGTGACTAGTTCCTTGCCCTACACTCTGAAAGTGAGAATCCCACTTGGAACATGACATTAGACTTGAGAAAAAGATATTAAATATAAACATAAAATGCACATGGAGGTGATTTTTCAAAAAATGCAAACAAACAAACAAACAAAGACAGGCACCAGTGGCTCATGCCTGTAATCCTAGCCACTCAGAGGATCATGATTCAAACATAGCCTGTGCAGGAAAAACTCTAAGACTCTCATCTCCAATTAATCACCAAAAAGCCGGAAGTGGAACTGTGGCTCAAGTGGTAAAGTACTAGTTATGAGCTAAGAAAGCTCAGGGACAATACCTAGGCCCTGAATTCCATTCTAGACCTTGGAGAGAGGGAGAGAGAAGGGGGGATGGAGAGGGAGGAAGGAAGGGAGAAAGAAAGCAAGGAAGGAAGGAAAGACGGAAGGAAGGAAAGACAAGAAGAGAAAGAAGAGAAAGAAAAGGAAGAAGAGAAAAGAAAAGACATACTTTCTCAAAAGCCAGGATGTAGCTTCTAGTGTGAGGAGAGATTGTCTCTAGGAAAAGGACATAGAAGGTTTCTGGTACTGACGTTAATTCTGTGTATTGTGTTGCTTGTTGTTTACATGGATATTCCCATGCAAACTATCTTTTCTGTGTCATTTTCAGTTTTCCATTGGAATGAACATTTCACCCCACTTTCCATGCTTTCTGGAGGCCCCTTCTTGCGCAGTTCTCACAGCCCTGCCCAGCGCTCTGTTGCCGGCCTCCTCTCCTGTGGTATAGACATACAGGGATAGACATTACAGAGCATAGACATTACAGGGGAGGCCTGAGTCTTTCTATTCTTTTCCACAGCACCTGCTTGGTGGGAAGTCTACAAAGGAATAAAGATCCCTGCACAGTGGATGTTAATCCAGCATGGATTTCATCTGGATAGTATGTCAACATTTTGCAAAAACAACAATCATGAAGCCCAGGGATAAACCTGTGAAAATCTGCTGAAGATAATATAAATGCTAGCAGGACAGGACATGATAATTCCCACTATTACACAGAGAGAGTTCACTGACACCTGTGAACTCAACGTAAGTGAGCCTTTTCCTTTTATGAAGCAAAATAACTATCTCCATAAAAAACATTATAAAGTTACATTTATTGATTCCCCCAGGGTTTTACTGAATCATCCAGATGATTATTCTCATACATCTTTGGAACAAGAACAACAATAAAAAATACCCAGAACACAAAATACACCATCCCAGGGGAGAGAGGACACATGCATACTTACATAGTAAACACATAAACAAAAGGTAAACTTCAAAAGCAAAGTGTATTTTGCACCATGTCATACTCTTATATTGACTATTTCACAGTTTTGCTATACCAGAGAATACCTATTACCAGGTTAATACCATCTCTGAGATGGGGTTGCTGCTAAGCTGGAAAAGAGAAGAGATGGCAGGCTGGAATGCCATAGCTCTCCTGCTCAGAGTCCAGGTGTTGTGGGGAACAAATGTCCCACAGCTGTTCTCTCACCAAAGGTGAGAGAGAGCTCCTGCCGGAAGCTGGACTGGGGCCGCCTCTTCCGTCACAGCCACGTTCCTCCATGGTTCTCTTCCTGGGTGTAGTGTTGTCCACCTTGTAAACTTTTCAGTGTACCAGTAAAGTGCTTGACTGTGCTCCATTTGAGCTACATCCTGCTTCTGATTTGAAGGCACAGATCGCTGGAGCCATAGTGGTATTGGCATGTGTCTGTAGAGGGCCTCAAAGGTAGGTATTGAGCCATTGTCACGCTCTACCCGACCCTGAGTCCTTGGAGGGCCTCCCGCTGGGCTAAGTGCTATTCCACAGGTAAACTTAGTCAACACAATTCTCTTGTAAGTCACAAGTCCTGTTCTCCCAACATGCCCAACAATCAATCTATCAATATGATAAAAGTCTATGAGGTGGGGGTTCCAATAATTGGAAGTACTTTTGGGGTCCACTCCCAAATATTGATTCCTATTGATACCTCTGCTTCAGTACACCAGAGGCTGGACTTCAAAGGATAATCACTTCTTTTCTTTCCTGAGTTGTGGACTTCAGTGATATCTCAACCCTTCTGTACTTTTAGATACACAAAAATAAATCTCACAAGGCAGCACCCCAGGCAGTTGCTGGGGACACTGTCTGGGTCCTCATTTTACTTCTCTGGGAATTATCTAGGCTAGACTTAGGCCAATTGGTAATGAATATAACAGGGACAATTAGGATATACAAAGGTCTGATTTTACTGGAAATAAATAGGGTAAGATATTATTATGCATTTTAAAGATTACCATGCCATTATTGTAAACAGCGGTATTTCTGCTAAGTTTAAATAAAACCTTGTAGGCCTCAAGGCCACTCTGAAAAGTGGGGGACACTAAAGTTGGGGAAATTCATAGCATTCCTGTGAGACTTAAGCTTATTTGCCACAAAGGCATTTTTAGTTATTGTCAATTCCACAAACAAAAAAAAATGCACTAAAATGGTTCGGAAATACAGCGTGACAACACATGGTTAAGATATATTAAACACTTTTGAAAATACATTTGGATGCTCTTGTTATGGGAGATAACTTTTAAGAACTTTTTCATTTTTAAAATGCTTGTTTGTTTTCCTGAAAATGGAATATATCCTTCAGCTTCCCAGAGAAAGTAAAACTCTGTCACAAATTGGATTCTGTTTGGGAGGAGTGGCTGTACCAGTTTCTATACATAAGAGGCCTTATGAAAATCTTGCGGAAGAACATACGGAATACTGGAGTTCTAAAGATGATGAAGATCCAAGGATCCACGATTGAAATCACAGACAGAAACCTCAAGGCTAGAAGATCATCCAGCTCTTCTGGGGCTTGGCTGAGAGCATTAAATGCTCTGTAGTAAGCGTGATACTGTTTGGAAGAAAAATATGATAGAGAGTTGGGTACTGGAAGGTGGATGGCTGAGCGAATTTGCTTACTTTCCCTACCTTTCTGTGAAAACACAGCAGCTTAGCTTGAAAACACTCATGTTTGGTAGACAGACCAGCAGCGAAGCTCACTGCTGCACCTGAGTGAGGAGCCAGCATGGGAGAGACACTGATGGTGTGCATGACTCCCTCATGGCTGTCCCAGCTGAGGGACAGTTTCCAAGTGACTGGAAGCTCATGAAAGCCTATTGGAGCCTTCACAGACTGGGCTACCATGGCCACATGCATCGGGCAGTACCTCAGTTCTCTGTCTCCCCCTGTATCCTCACACCTAGACAACTTTATTTTCCTTTCCTTCCCTTCTTTGACCTGCTTCCTTCTCTCATCAGTTTGCTTAGAAGTAAGCCACACCTGTGAAATGTCACCTGTATGGAACCACCGATGAAACAGAAGCTTTGAATGGAATAGAAGAGACAGAAATAAGACAATAGGAAGACACGAAAGAAAGGAACCGATCATCTCACATTAATGGCTCTGTTTAGTCTGGGCATAGGTCTGTATAATTGCATGATTGGCATCCATTTTCTAAAGCCTATTTAACTGTGTCCAGCCTCCTCTTTTTGCCCTGATCTCCCTTGAAGCCTGTCGAGTTTTCTCAGTGCCCTGCAAAGCTCTTCAAATCATGATTTCCTGCTATTCAGCTCCCACTCAGTGTAGACCAGTACCATCACCTCCTCCCACTCTGTCTGTGCTGGCTTCCTTGTCTTTTTGCCATTGCCCTGTGCGTACCTGCTGAGGGTCGAAATCCATGATGGGACAAATGCACCCCCATGGAACAGAAGCCACACAAAGCTGGTACTCATGGGAGGGTGTGCCCATTCAGGACAATCACACACATGTCCCAAAGAGAATGCGTTTTCCCACGGTCACCTCCCTACTTCTAGCTGCCTTTTCTGTGCAGCTAGCGGCCACTCCAGTGTACTGTATTTAAGAGGATGGGCCCAGCTATTATTTCTACTTACACATTCATTTCCTCCATTATTACCTTAAAATGGCAAAGGCGATAACAATGGCTATTACCACGTGCAGACTACCATCCCAGACACTATTCTAAACCTTTAGAAATGAGCTTTATCCCTACAAAAATCATAGGAAGTAAATACATTATTCCCCATGGAAATACAGGCAGACAGTGCCACCCTTCAAGGTCTACCTCAAATACGAATCATTTCAGGAGGTCTGTTCAAGTGGTGTCTAAGCGAGTTCCACCTTAGGTCTGAGGGTGTGAATTAGGAGTCCCTGCTTGATGGTGCCATAGAAAAGTTACAGTTTCTTCACCTTCACAATGAGGGTCACTGTACAATTTTCAGGATTCTCGTGATGTTTGAGGGAAATGGTGCAGGTCAATCTTGAGCACAGGCTCTAGCATGCCATGAGAACTCAGTCATTAGCTAGTGCTATTCTATCATCAGCGTGGAGTGACTGCTTTCCTCTGCTAAACCCATCGATGACCCTAATCACCTTCCTTTTAAACTTGCAGTGGTTTTCCCATTTTGTATGTCTACAATGAATTGCAGAGAGTCTTGAGCGGGCTAGGTATTGCATATGTGCAGAACAGTTGGTCTGTGGTGGCAGGAGACCCCGTGTTAAAGTCTTTTCATGTTTGTCTGTTTCAGTGCTGGTACTGGAACTTGAACTCAGTTCCTGGGCATTGTCCTTGATCTTTTTTTTTTCAGGCTAGTCTCTACTACTTGAGCCACAGCTCCACTTCTGGTTTTTGTTTGTGGTTAATTAGAAATAAGAGTGTTAATTTTACTGCCCAGTCTGGCTTTAAGACTTTATCCTCATATCACAGCCTCCCGAGTAGCTGGGATGACAGGCGTGATCCACCAATGCCTGACTTCTTAAGATTTTTTTAATAAGTTTTTTATTGTGAAAATACTGTACAGAGAGATTACAATTACTTAAGTTGGTTTTAAGAATAAATATTTAGTGGCTCAGTGGTAGAGTGCTTGCATTGCCTGCATGAGGCCCTGGGTTCGATTCCTTAGCACCACATAAGCAGAAAAAGCCAGAAGTAGCACTGTGGTTCAAGTGGTAGAGCGTTAGCCTTGAGCTGAAGAGCTAAGGGACAGCGCCCAGACCCAGAGTTCAGCCCCACGACTGACAAAAAAAGAATAAATATTTAATGTGAGTTTGTTTTACATGTGCCACATACATCTCAATGTCGAGAATAGCAAAATATAATTTTAACTATGTGAGAATGTTTGATGGTTTGGAAGCCTGGTAATGGGATCTGAATGATGCCTAATGATATAATTAAAACAAGCCATTTTATTTCTATGGGGTATTTTTTGAGGGTCAGGGCCAGAGTTTGAACTAGGGCCATTGAACTTATTGGCTTACTTCTCTACTGGTGCTTTCCATGTCTCTAGCCCAGTTTTTTGCTGGTTATTCTGAGATGGAGTCTTGTGGGCTTTCTACCAGGGGTGGCTTTGAACTTTATTCCTTCAAATATGAATTTCCTGAGTCACTAGGATTATAAGGATGAGCCATCAGCACCCTGCTTCTATGCTGTATCTATGTATTCCAGTTCTATAGATTTCCTGTTCTTTTTTGTTCGTTTGTGGTACTGAGGATTGATCTCAGCGCCTCACACATGCTAGGGAAGAAATGATCTGCCACTGAGTTGTACCTTTAGTTCAGTTATCTATGTTTTCAAGTCACTAGATTTGTTATTAGGAGTGCATCCTTCATTTTCAAAGCGGCTCAATTTACATAATGTATGAGAAGAGTGCCCTCTGATGGTTCTAGGGGTCCCTGGGACAATGCTGCTATTGGCAGCTAGGTGGCGACTTGAGTACATCCCTGCTCAGATCTTTCTCCTCCTGATGCCTTCTTTCTAGCTCATCACTGTAACACTCCCATTTTACCCTCTGCTCCAGCTCTTCAGATTCATTTTAGACCATTTCCACTGGGCCCATTGTTTTCCTACTATGCCTTAGAGGTCTGTAACACCTCCTTCAGAAAGAGCATCCCAGCCATTCTTCCAGCAGGCCAGATGGGCATACCCAGCTGAACTGTTTCCACTGACTCCCCTGACTCCATGGGTCCTGACAGACACAAGCACACAGCTTGTGTTTGCCTGAGGACCCCACCTCATCTCCACACACACTCTGCCATCCATCTCTGCTCCTCACCAACCCCCAGGAACTGCCCTTCTAAGACAAAAAGGATCTCGATGAACATATTCTACACATATTACAGGATGCATGGAAGAGTCCTCTGAAGTTCATTCATTCTATATTTCTATAGCAAACTGGAAAAACTGAAGACAACCTATGTTAATATTTTATTCTAATTCTACATAATTGTGAAGTTCCGTTTTTAAAAACCATGCTTGAGCAGGGCTGGGGAGATAGCTCAGTGATAGAGAATTGCCTAGCTCGTGACTGGGAGGGAGAGGGGGAAGGAGAGAAAGAAGAGGGGAAGAAAAGGGATGGAAGGAAGGAAAGGAAAGGGAAGGAAAGACAGGAGAAGGAGGAGAGAAAAAAGAGAAGAAAGGGAGAGGGACAGAGGGAGAAAGAAGGAAGGAAGGTATGGGAGGGGGAGAGGAGAAAAAGGAAAGAAGGAAGGAAAGGAGGGAAGGAAAGGGAGGAGAGAAAGGAAGGGGAAGAAGGAAGGAAGGATAAAAGAAGGAAAGATGAAGGAGGGAAGAATGAAGGGAGGAATGATAGGGAGAAAGAAAAGAAAAAGAGAAGGAAGGAAAAAGGGCAAGAAAAGAAAGCAGATAGGTTTTTAAACATTGCTTCTACAATTGTTCCCCTCCAGATGTAGCCTTATTTGATCACACATAACGATTCAAGTCCATGCCTGACACTAAAACCATCTCTTTTCTAGCGATGACAGCTTCTATGAACAATGCTATCTGCATTGGACATATTTGAGATGTTACATGGTTTTTAGAAAATAATTTCCAAGTCCATTTTAAATGTTCGCAATACTCTATGAATTATTCAGATCTCCTTAGAGGTTCCTTTCGCTGTTTTATTCTTTTTGCATTCCTTTTGTGAACACATTCGCTGCTGAACACATTAGCTATCTGTGCATTCAGCTGCTGCCTGCTTTATGGACTCATGGGTGGTGAGTGGAGATCCGGATGCAGGACAGTGGTCTGGAAATGCTTTATACAAAAAGTCAGAGAGTAAATAGTAGAGGTTTCGTGGGCCAAGAGGCAAAAATCATGAATATTTGGTAGGCACAAGTCTAACAAGAGAAATATTTCTGAAATATTTTTCCTTTTCATTTTGACAGTAGAAGGATTTGAATTCAGGGTCTTCTACTTGGTAGGGAGGTACTCTACCACTTGGGCCACACTCCCAGCAATGTTTGCCTTAGTTATTTTTGAGATATGGTAGGAGGGTATTACTCCCCCCCCCCCAGTAATCTTCCTACCTATCCCTTCCTCCTAGCTGTGATTACAGGTGTACACCACCATTGCCCAGCTTCTTAGTTAAGCTTGAAGTCTCACTATGCTTTGCTGGGATTTGAACTTCAATCCTCCCAGTCTTCACTTCCTGAGTAGCTTGGATTATATGCATGCATCACCATGCTCAGCCTTTATTTCCACAAACAGAAAAGGCCAGAAGTGGTGCTGTGGCTCAAATGGTAGAGGGCTAGCCTTGAGTGAAAACAAGCTTAGGGACAGTCCCCAGGCCCTACGTTCAAGAAAAAAAAAAAAGTTTGGTGTTGAATCTGAGCATACCAAAATGCCTTGTCTACTTAAATAGATGTAAATTTCTTTCTTTTTTTTTAGAGGGGGGAGGGCTGTTTCTGATCTAATAATTGTGTGATGTTTGGACCTCCCACCTCTCCACATTTTAAGGCCTTATTTCAAGAAAACCCACTTTACATCTCCCCCTTCATCTACATTGGAAGTTACATCTGATTTCCTTACACTTTGATAAGAACATGAACTTTATACTTGTCCCAGGAGTCTAGAGATTTCCAGGACTTTGAAGTGGCCTTGCACTGTCCTTTATTTAAACGTTATTCTTACTTATATTGAGCAGGTACTTTGGTAGTAGGAAGGAGAGAAGCAATCCTGATGAAAATTTCACCGAAGTCTGGGACACAGAAGTGAAACCCTTCCAAAATAACAATCCAGTCACCGCCACCATCCCTTTAGTAAACGGAAACCTCAGCGAATGGCTTTCATGCCACTTCCCTGGGCCAGACAAGAGGCCGAGGCAGTCAGGAGAGGTGGTCAGAATGACTGCTATCAGCTGACACCCGACCCACAGCAGCCTTCCAGATGGACGTACTGCCCTGCCTTACTGCCCCGTCCCTAGACTCGGTGGCCAGCCTCTCCCCAACCCTTACGCACGGGGGTTTCTAAAACCAACCCATAGGATGCTTGTAGTCGCTCAGTCCTCTGATCAGTGTCCAGATTCAGTTCTTCCTCTCCTCCCTTCCCTTGCCAATATGTTTTGGAGAAGAGTCCCAGGCCCGTTCCTGACACCACTAAAATCGCGGACAGCTCTAAGGAAATAAAGCACGACCTAGCAGTCCGGCAGTGCCATACTGCCCAGGAGGTGCGAGGATTGGGGGGCGGAAAATTGGACTCTCCAGCTCCGAAGTCAGAGGAGGAGATCCTGCAGAAGGGACCCCCCCACCCAGGATTTCCTTTTCCTTTTCTGACTCTCCCTCTTCTCACTCAGGAAATGGGGATCTGAAGGGAATCTGGTTGGGAGAAGAGCACCCACCAGCAACCCCTAGCCCGGGGCGCAGTTCCCGCGCGCACGCGCGCACGCGCATCCGTACCCGCTCCATCCTTCCCGCCAGCAACCTAGGCGCCGGCCCAAGCACTCACTCACAATTAAAGGCAAGGAGCACATGGTGAAGAGCACGGTCATGAGCGCCAGCAGCAGCAGGTGATCGAGCTCCTCCAGGGGGTGCGGGGACACCGTCCGGCCGCCGCCCGCGGGCTCAGCTCGATCCCGGGAGCAAGGGCGCGCAGGCCGCTGCAGACGCCGGTGCATGGTGTAGAGGTTGTGCATGGCTCCCAGATTGCACAGCACGATCGCGAGGACCAGCAGCGCCATGAGGCTGGAGTAGAGCACCGAGTAGCCCAGCACGGACAGCGAGCCCTCCTCGTGGATCATCCGGATGAAGCACCAAGTCCCCGGGCAGTATTGCACAAACTTCCCGAAGCCCGCGAAGGGAAGCGAGCAGAAGAGCAAGCAGAAGGCGCCCAGGATGGGCGCCACGAGCACGCCCCGGCGCGGGGTGATGTGCCGTTGGTAGAAGAAGGGGTGTCCCAGGGAAAGCCAGCACTCCAGCGCCATGGCCAGGAGCTGCAGCGTCGAGGCGAGCCCGAAGAAGGACATGAGGAAGGCGAAGGCTTGGCACAGCCACTTGCTGGGTGTCGGTGCCAGCCGGGACAGGGTCTGGTTTTGCGCGTAGGCGGTCAGCACCACGGGGCTCAGGAGACACTTGCCCAGCAGGTCGGTGATCGTCAGGCCGCACACCAGCACGTAGAAGACCGAGCGCGGCGGGCGCGGCCGGCAGGACCCCAGCCCCGAGCGTGCCAGCAACCCCAAAGCCAGCAGGTTGCCCAGGAGCCCCGTGCTGAACAGCACCCCGCCCGCCATCGCCGAGTAGCCCTTCTCCACCCAGGTGGCGTTGTCGCAGCGGTAGGCAGGTGACTTCATGGCGGGTGGTCCGTCGGGCTGGAATGCAGGATGCAGCTAGGGCGAGGGCCACAGTGCCGGGGTGCGGAGGAAGCCCCCCATCCCCGGGGCCGCTCCTTGGGAGGAGAGGCTGAGCCTTGGAGGAAGCTCCACCGGGCACAAGAGCCGCCTCCTGTCTAAAGTTGGGTCACACCCCTGTCCGAGGGCGGGACCAGCAGCCGTGAGCGCAGCAAAGCGGGGTTCTGATGAGTGGGGTTCTGAGTAGAGAGGGACACACCTTAGTGCCTAGAATGAGGAATCAAGGAAAGCAGCCAGAGCTCACACACTCAAGATCAAAAAGGGAGGGAGGGAATCAAATGGGGAAATGAAGCAGCCAACACTAGGGAGGTGGGGGACCACAGGGTGGCTGGTGATGGTAGCCGGAACTCTGAAGATGTGGGGAGAGAAAGGCACAGAGAAGTAGCTGCCTACCGCCTAGTTTTCTAGGCCAAGGTAACCAAAACTTGCATAACACTTAATGGCTTCTCAGTATCTTCTAGATTGGGGTATTAGCAGCGATATCCATCATGTAGGTGACGACCTGGAAATGGGGGTGCCGTAGAAAGTTAAATGATCTCCCCAGGATGGCAAACGTGGTAAGAGGCAGAGGTCAACTTGGAACCTGACATACTGTTTAAAGAGTCCATCTGTTGTCCATGGCTTCTCTTCCCAAAAGGATGGCCAAATTTCAGGCCAGGTGTGTGTGTGTGTGTGTGTGTGTGTGTGTGTGTGTGTGTGTGTGTGTGTGTGTGTGTGTTCCAAACAGGAAAAGCCAAAAGGTGACTTTTGCCTCTGTCAAAAGACTTTTGACAGTGACTTTGTAGATGGGGAGGAAGAATGGCGTTAATAGCATCAGGTAGGCGTGGGTTCAGGTCCTGCCTCTGTTACTTCATTGTTTGTGTGAGCCTGAGGGACCCATCACCCTACTTGTTTAGCCCCTATGAGGCAGATATGTGCCACAATTCTCCCAAGATGTTTTAGTAGCTGATAGTAACTGCAGGCTTTAGCATGGCTTTTTGAAAACAGAAAATAGTAATCGTCTCTCTTGATAGCTTTCTCACGCCTCTGCATTGTGACTACTAGAAAAAAAAATTCTCTTCTAGCTTTGACTGGGCCACATCAAAAAGGCAATTTTTATTTTATTTTTTAATTGCACTCCATATCCTGGGGCAGATACTGGCTTTGAATGTGGAATCTGAGTGGGATGATTGGGTCTAAATTATGTAAGCAAGTCGATTATGCCTTGGCTTGAAGAGGTTCATTTTTAGGCCCCATGCCTGTTCTGGTGGATAGAGTCAGTCAGAGGACAAGACCCTGGGGCTGCAGACATGAATGCCTAAAGGCTGGCAGAGAGGCTGCCTCCAGACTGGAAATCTGAGTAAGTGAGGCAGGGCTGTGGAAAGGGAGCATGAAAGTTTGGGGGTAGGCAGTTCTGATCTCTACCACTAGCTGTGTGACCCTGGGCTTAGTCTATCTGAGTTTTTATTTTTATTTCCTCACAAATAGGATACAGGTTGCTGTGAATGGGGACAAGGTGAAGTGCTTGACAGAGTTACATGGCCACAAGAGCTGCCATTTATAGGCCCTTCTGCATGTTGGGCACTCTCCAAGCCTTCCACATACGGATCTAATAGGCCTTGAATGCAGTGAGTTCCCTTGCCTTCTCTCTCATACCCATCCCTAACCCCTATCAAATAATGATGGGTTTGGAAGAGCCCCACTTGAGCTGATGATATGGAAGGAGGGTGCCCTGTAACCAAAAGTGAGTCTTACAAAGGCTAAGGTTTCCTCTCCAGATAGAAGGCAGACAGACAGACAGACACACACACACACACACACACACACACACCACAATTTACATCAATTTTGGGGTGCTCACAGTTGCTGGAAGTCCTACTTATGCTATCCACAGAGTCCCAATAGGATGGAGTTCAGAAATTCTCCTTCTACCCCTTCTGGCTGATCCCCAGAAGCAAGTCCATTTAAAAACAAAAACAAAAACACTTCAGCTGCCTCTCTTTCCAGAGCCCTTAAATTTAAGTGACACAAAAAAAAATTTAAAGATGAGAAATGGGCCAGCTGTGGGTCCCTGACGTGGTTTCTATATGTCATGCTTCCAATTCAGGAAAACACACGTTTCCTGCTGGCCAATCTAGCTCACCCTTTTCATGGGATTTCCAGCTATCTTTTTTTTTTTTTTTTTTGCCTGCTTCTCTGGGGTTTATTCTGTCCTGTTGTCAGATTAGTTTTGGAGTCTTCTCTTCCTACTCCTAGGAAAATCACATCTAATGTTTGCTGTATAGCTAAGAAAAGTACATTTGTTCATACACCAAATATTCTTTGAGCTCTTCCTTTGTGTTGGGCACGGGAATGACGAGACTGGGTATTTTAGAAGCATACAGCAATTCAGCCAGCCTGCCATATGACTCTCATCACTTGTCACAGGTCAATGACTGCCATCACGTCACAAGCTTGTCAATTTTTTTTTTTGTCCCAGTCCTGGGCTTGAACTCAGGGCCTGGACTCTGTTCCTGAGTCTCTCTATGCCCAAGGCTCTACCACTTGAACCACAGCACCACTTCTGTTTTTATTCTGTTTATGTGGTACTGAGAAATCAAACCCAGGGCTTCATGCATGCTAGGCAAGCACTCTACCACTAGACCACATTCCCAGCCCAGCAAATTTTACATCAGTTTTTAGAGTAACCGGGCTTTCTCTTTGTTAGAGAGAGAGAGAAAGAGAGGGGGGGAGACTTTCAATGAAAATATCTAAACAGCAGTGCCAAGGTGCTTGCTGAATTATAAGACAAATCTAGAAAAATATGTGTGGCATTATATTAAAACTATTCCAAATATGATTATAAGATGACATTGTAAACATAACCTTGTACATCCATGAACAAAGCCTAAAGTTGGCATAGATCAGTGAAGCATTGACTTAGGCTAGAGAAGGGATGGTAAGACAGTTCCCCCTTGGCTTTCTGATATTTTCAAAATAGTACCTGTAATAATTTTATTTATTTATTTATTTTGGTCATTCCTGGGGCTTGAACTCTGGGCCTGGGCATATCTTTTTATTAAGGGTTTTTGAGACAGGGTTGTGCCTCATGTAGACCAAGCAGGCCTCAAACTTGAGATCCTCTTGCCTTGACCTCTGAAGGTTAGTACCACCACAGTAGACTGCAATCACTACAGTCCCACCTACAGTCCCAACACATAGGAGGCTGAGGCAGAAGAGTTGTTTAGTATAAAAGCTTGAGACCAGCATGGGCAATATAGCAAAGCCCTGCCTTTAAAAAAATATTTTAAACCAGGCACAGGGGGCTCACGCCTGTAATCTAGTTACTCAGGAGGCTGAGATCTAAGGATCACCATTCAAAGCCAGCCTGGGCAGAAAAGTCCATGAGACTTTTATCTCCAATTAACCACCAGGAAACCAGAAGTGGTGCTGTGACTCAAGTGGTAGAGTGCTCCCCTTGAGCTGAAGAGCTCAGGGATAGCACCCAGGCCCAGAGTTCAAGCCCCATGACTGACCAAAAAGGAATATTTAAAACATAAAATGAGTTTATACTTATAGCTAGGTTTTAGAAAAGTGGAGGGGAAAACAAGACTCTACTCCTAAATCTTATTTACCCTTATGTCTGTTAATTTTACCAGTTGCTGTGTTGGATGCAGGGTGTGAAAAACAGAGACTGGAGAGGAGGAAGCCTCAAAGCTTAGCATGGTCCCCAGCATGGTGTATCTTCTGCATGCTTTACCCCTTGACCTTTTGCAGGAGGGCAGGGGCACAGCAGTGTTGGTGATGGATAAAATCTTAGGAGGTATCCTGTCTGAATTCACATCTCAGCTTTGTCTTTTTGTAAGCAACCTGGAACCTTCTCAAACCTCAGTTTCCTTGCCTATGAAAAAATGATGCTGTGGGCTCAAATGGTAGAGTGCTAGCCTTGAGCAAAAGGAGCTCAGGGACAACATCCAAGCCCAGAGTCCAAGCTCCAGGATTGTTAAAGAAAAAAAAAAGGAAAGAAATTGTACTGAGCTCATAGGGAAGTTTAAAATTCCTCTGGGGAATGAGAAACATTAGTGATGGCTCAGCACCCCAAACCAATGATATCAGACTATCTGGGGAAGCTCACTGAACTTCAGTATATTTTTTGAAGTTCGCTGTGCAGTTAAGGTGAGAACCACGGAACTAGAATGTAGAACATAGGGCTAAAACAGGCTCGGGAGGCTCTATAAACTGTGCTATTACATGCTCTTATTCCTCTCCACTATGCCACAGAAATAGTCTTCGTGTGTGTGTGTGTGTGTATGTGTGTGTGTGTGTGTGTGTGAGAGAGAGAGAGAGAGAGAGAGAGAGAGAGAGTTTTGGTCTTGGGGCTAGAACTCAGGGTCTGGGTGCTGTTCCTGAGCTCTTTTGCTCAAGGCTAGTGCTCTACCACTTTGAGCCGAAGCACCACTTCTGGTTTTCTGGTAGTTAATTGGAGATAAGACTTTCCTGCTGGATTGGCTTTGAATTGTGATCCTCAGATCTCAGCTTGGATTATAGGCGTGAGTCACCAGTGCCCGGCTTTACAGAAATATTCTTTACCACTTGATTTTCAGATAAAGGAAATGAGACACAGAGTGTCTAATAAATTGTTGTGGTTCATATAATTAGTATACGTTGAGTCTTTTTTTTTTTTAATCCAGTCGTAGGGCCTGAACTCTGGGCCTGGGCGCTGTCCCTCAGCTCTTCAGCTCAAGGCTAGCGTTCTACCACTTGAGCCACAGCGCCACTTCTGGCTTTTTTCTTTTTGCTTATGTGGTGCTGAGGAATCAAACCCAGGGCCTGGAGCATGCAAGGCAAGCACTCTACCACTGAGCCACCTTCCCAGCCCCTACATTGAGTCTTGAGTAGCCTCCAGCTCTTTTGGATTCCTGGAACTTCTGTTTTGGAGAAAGAGAATCATGAAGAAGAAAGAGTATGAGAGAGAAAAGAGGGAGTCTGGGATTTCCTTCTATTCATTCATTCATTCATTTTTTCATTCATTTATTCTGAGATGTTAGGGATTGAACTCAGATCC